TTCTTCTCAATTATGGATAAGTTATTATACTTCTCTGAGCGGGCAGCCACCTCTCAGATACTACAGCACCATGTGGCCTACAGAGTGAGTCCCTGCTGTAAGTGACAATGTCTTTACCCCCCTCAGTAATGATGAATCATCCTTTTGCCATTGCACTGTTGGAACAATACTAGCAGTGCCTGAAGCAGAGCGTTTTTGGTTTTTAATACATCTGAAAGCAGGCCTAAAACATGGTTTTTCTTCACCTGTCATAATGCGTGAGAAATGATGTAGCTAAAGTTTGAATTTGCAACATAATTAAAAGTGTTTGAGATGCCTGAACATGCTTCCTGAGATTGAGGATGAAGCAGGGTTTACCTGATCTGTGGTTTCAGGAGGCCTGAACTTCTCCGATTGGGAACACCAGTGAGTCTCCACATACTGCTTCAGGATGACGGATGCCAACTGTAAACACAGCCAACCACACAAACAAGAAAATGATGAGGAACAACAGAAAAAGTGGTGTTTGTTGTAAAGGTTCATTTTTTTTCTTTTTCAGTTTCTCTCCTGCTCACCTGACGAATGGCAAGTGCTCCCTGAGGGTCGACTGTGAGTTCTGCCAGGTGGACGCCAAACTCTGCAATGTGAACAAATCAGCAAGGACAACAGGATATAAATACACAACTAAATGCATATCAGCTCGCTTAGAGCATGATGAATATAGAAAAAGCCAAATGTGGATGTATAAATACTGAATTTATAAATGAGGTTTTTTCTAATCCTACACATTTCCATTATTAATTTTCACTATGGTTTAAAGAGCCTGGCAAAATATGAAAATATGCATCCTTCAGCAGCAACAGGATGACAAGGGATCAGTGTGCGACATTAAGTAAGAGACATGAGACACACCATACAGGCAGAGGGAAAAAACTCGAGCGGAGCATGCTTTAGTCTGAACATGGCATGCAGGGTGCCAAAGACATCAGGGTGACATCAGGCGCCAGAAGACAATGTTAGTGCTGACAATCCCATAGCGCGGCTGCCTTAGAGCGGGGCCAGCGGAAAGGGTCGGCTCGCTGCGATACTGCAGTACAGCCGACATCAGTGCGCACAATTAGCCTTTCACCAGCAGCACGAGGACTGCAGGACAAACAATGGGAGGTCTAGCAGAGTCAGAGCTACACCCCCCTGGCTACAGTATCCATCTGTCCAAATTTTACTAAAAATCAGACAGAAAGTGTCTTTTTATTTCTCTATCAAAAAAAGAAGAAAAGTAATCAAGTCTTAAAACTTTGCCAACAGATGAACTGCATAAAGCAACACCACAAGATTACTTCAGGATCTACGTTAACATGTTCTAAGTACAAGCATCACTACTACTTTCTTTTCCCCCCTCATTAATACAATTCTGACACACATTCTGTGACTTTGATGGTTTCCTCCTACACTGAAGCCTCAGACTTTTCCCACTCCATATGAAACACTAACAGCTCTTTCATTGGCCATCCTGTGTGTACTGCCCTCCCTGCTGGTCCTGATGGTGCAGGAAGCTGGAAGTCTGGGAGAAGCCCCTGCCCCCCGGGGACACATCTTCGCGGGAAAAAAAAACAATCTGTCAGTAAGGCATTCAATTGTTAGCATAGTGACGGCGCAATTAATGAATGTTTAATATTAGGCAGGCGGCGAATCCGCTATTGTCCGGGCGGTCAAACAGCGGATTTTGGAGTTTGCGTGAACGTGACCAAAGTAGCTGCTCTCAAAAAAGGAGAGAGACAGAAAAAAGTGGTAATATTTTTTATCAAGATGTTCACGCGCACCTGGCTGAAAAGACCACGCGACTCTTGTCTTTCCCTTTGGTTTACTGACGCAGATGTTGAACCCAGAGTCGATCCCGCCGCCGTGCTGCTGAGGCCGGGGTGCACACAGCTCCCATGTGCTTCATCAAACTTGGTAACTAGGTCCGAGCTACTGACCACACTTGTGACACATCCGGCTGTCCGAACCGATCGCCTGAGCAAAGCAACCGGCCAGTCTCGAACCCCAATCGAAGATCATCATCATCATTATTATCTTAATCATCACCAACTCCTGGAAATGTGGCCTAATGTTTGCTCCGGGGAGCCAGGACAGTCGCTCAGCTAACGTAATGACTGCTAGCTTAGTCACAAAGTTAGCCCCAATAACGGCGGCCGTCAGCTGTTCGCGCACTGGGCGCGAAGCGGAGGCCCCCGTGCTGTTAATAAGCGACAACACCCCGGTTAACTTCTCAAAGCGCTGTTCAGACCCCGGCTGCCACTCACCCTCTGTCACTTCCAGCACTTTGATCTGCTCCTCCGCGGCGGCGCGCACTTCTTGGACCGGGGACAGGATGGCCGTCAGCGTCTCGATCAGAGCCTCTTTAAGTCCCTGCTGGACCGAACCGGGCCGAACGCTACCCGCTGCACTCATGCCTGCTGTGTTTTCACCCGCAGCCCGCTACAGTCAGTCTACCAGCAGCTGTAGCACCACCACCCGGGGAGGAGCGACGAGCCACGGCCACAGAGGCGAAGCGCGCCAATGCATGGAAACGCGGAGGCGGGGTTTTTGCGGGAGGAAGTGTGTTTGTCGTCCGGTTAGGCCCACGTGTTTTTCTCCCTTTGTTTTTGTTTTTATATTTTAGCGCCCTCTGGTGGAGCGGAGGAAATTTATGATTTTGAGCTCAGGTAAATAATAATAATAATTATTATTATTATTATTATTATTATTATTATTATATATACTAGTTGTAGTATTGCGTATAGTAGAGCTCTCATAGTAAAGGCTATATTAAAGATTTTGTGTTATTGCAGGCATGGTTCATGGAAACTTAGATAGTGAGATCCACTGTGATGTATGGTAAGGAGACGGTGGCACACTAACATGAAGACAGGAGGCTGGAGGTGCCAGTTGAAGATGTTGACAATTTCATTGGGAGTGGCCAGGATAATTAGATGAGTTAATCAGATTGATAGTTCAGGTTGAACAGTTTGGAGACAAAGTTAGTTTGGACATGTGCTGAGGAAGGACATGCAGAGGAAAGTTGGGGTGAGAGCCAGAGGCAGATGATCTGCTGTGGCATAACAGTTTCTATGCGCTATACGGCATATGTAGCTCTCCAGAAGACTGGTAACATGTCCTGGGTGTACCCCACCTGGCCCCATGACAGAAGTGGAAATGGATGGATGGAGTTATATATATTTATATTTGTCTCGCCATATAAAGAGGTCAAAGTAACCGTAGCCTAACCTTAAGTGTGAACAACTTGCAAAATCTTGGAGGAATCTGAGCTACCAGCTTCACCATATAATCCTACAGCGAAACAGTGTGTGCAATTTGCAAGGCTGTTACATTTACATCCCTAATACTTTCCCTTCACACTGTTAATCATAAAATGTGTGGCGGTTTGGATGTCTGAATATAAAAATCTTGTGTTATTATTCACTGCTCTAAGATGTACAACATACAGGAAAAATGACTTATGGAAAACTAGCAAATATTGTAGAAACTCAATTACAAAATATAATTTTTTTCTTGTAAAATCCCCACTCGTATGTGACTTTGGCAAATATGTAAATATAAAAAGCATAAAAAAAGTATCAAAACTAACCATACGCTCTGTTGCCAGTTATGAGGTATACCTTGGTAAAAGCAATAGTCCATGGACCTGGAAACCAATGTCCCAAACTAAAGAAGGGACATTGGTTTCCAGGCCTATAATTATATACTTACAGAAAATCCATTAAATGTGGTGCTCCTCAAGGCTCCATCTTAGGTCCTCTTTTATTCCCTTTTCTCTCTCGTTACATGTTACTCTTTGGCTACATCTCTCAAAAAGAGAATATTTATTATTGCCAACATGTGGATCTGCCACGCTGCCACATTAGTCGATAATGCCATGAAACGTTTGACTTATGCTGTATGAAGAAAATCTTTGACTTTTTGGGATGATCGCAAATCACAGATTTAATTTATTTATCATTTGCTTTTAAAGAACTCCATGGATCAGCCAGCACCACAATATAGAACAATAGTTCTAATACCATACTGTGGCTCTAGGTCACTGAGGTCCTCCTCCAAACTTCTTTCAGACCCCAGCTCTTGACTAAGAACCAAAGTTGACAAGACTTTGCAGGGCTCATCCAGAAAGCAGCAATCATTTCTTGAAATTCACCTTTTAGTCAAGTCTGAGGTGCCTCGTAGTTTCTGTCAAGTCCATTGTGAACATGCTGCTCTTTCACTTGTTCTATATTTTCATATTTGTAGAATTGATTTTCTTTTAATAATTTTTACCTTGAGTTTTTTTTAATTAAAATGACTACTACTAGTCTGAAAAACAGAAAATATCCACTGAGCAGAGGTGCTCTGCATAATAGCCAGTCTGCTTCAAGTTGATAGGAAGGCAAGACAGGTAAGACGATAACCCAAATAACTCATTACAACAAAGGTATGCAGAAAAATGTTCCGTCTTGATGAGTCTTGTTTTCTGCAGACGTCAGACGTTGGGTTAAACAACATGAGAGCACGGATAAATCCTGCCGTGTGTGAGTGTCTTGAGGCTGCTGGTGGTCTAATTGTGTGGGGACTTTTTTTGGCACACTCTTGGCCCTTTAGTACCAAACTTTAAACAGCAAGTATTGTTGCTGACCATATCCATTCCTTTATGATCACAGTTGAACCATCTCCTTTATATAAAGCACAATTTCACAGAATTTGAATAATCTCAAACTAGTTTCTTCAACGTGTTTAAAATATTGACTGTACTCAAAGGGCCTCCACAGCCACCAGATTTCAACCCAACAGAGGACTTTTAGGATGTGGTGGAATGAGAAATTTGCATCATGGATGTGCAGCAACTGTGCGATTTTGTCATATGACTATAAACTGAAATCTCTGAGGAATCTTTTTCCAGCACCTTCTTCATGAAGAATTAAGACAGTTCTGAAGCCAAAGGAGGTCCAACCCAGTACAGGCAAGATGTACCTAATATAGTGGCTGGTGAGTGTATATGTGACTTTGTTTTTATTTTTTAATTTGTTATGCACTCTTTGTTCTTTCTCTATATGAATAAAACATGATATACTCTGAACAGTTACCACTTGTGATAAAAAAAAAAAGAAAAGAAAATAAGGTTAATAAAATATGAATCCCCCCACTAATCATTAAGGACTGGATTCACTGCGTGGCTGAGGTGTTAGACAGCGACTGCTTCAGCTCGTGTAATGTTGATCTAATATACCGATTTCTAAGAACAAACCAAAGACTAAAACAACCGTTTCCTCTTGTTTGAGCAAAAAGAATTTGGTTTATGTAGAAACAAGCAATGTTTTGCAACTGGATATTTCCCTCCTCTCCAAAAGAGTTAAAGCTAAAAATAAAAAAAAGAGAAATGAACACCCACCCCGCTGCACCCAGAATTGCCACCACCTGAAAATATTTGCAGGTTACGGACAGAAAGCAAAGGAAACCCGGGCGACAGCTCACAAGGGTGATGGGGAGGTAAGTGTACAGTACATATATATAAAATATAAAATCTGACATATATTTTATATATATATATAAAATTGTGTTAGGATTCAGTATCGTTCACTACACAGCATTAAAGTGGTGTGTCTTATTATCTTTTTTCCTTCATTTTTCTTTTTTCCAACGCTATCATATAAACCAGAGGAGAGTCAAAACAAAACAAATGAATCAACGAACAAACAAATGTGGGAATAAAATGGAAACTAAGCAACAGACGAAAGGCCTCCGCCCGATCCGATGCCCGTTCCCCCTCCCCCTCCACCCCACAACCACCCTCCCCAGCGGGAGGGGTGAGCTAGCCCGGACGAGGTGGGACAGACCCGTCCAGCTGTACAGCGCAGTGAAACATAACTTACATATTAGCTCATTTTTACACGTACAGTCGTGATCAAGGCACAGGGATCTTCTACAAGTTTTTTTTTTTTTTTTTCAATAAAGTTGTACAAAATAATACATTTTACAGTCTGTACAGGAATAATAGTCCAGCAGTAAAATAAAGACAGACGTACTTAAAGCCAGGAAGGGAGGAGGTGGGAATGGGAGAAGTGAGAGAACAAGACGAAAGGTAAACGGTGTGGAGGTGGGTCATAGTGTGGACAAGGAGGCCTGTGAGTGCATGTGCACGGGTGTGTGTGTTAGTGTGTCCGTGTGTGCTGCCAGGTCAGAATGTCGCATCCAGCCCCGACGAGTCGTTTCTTCAACTTCGTACGTTCCTTTTGCGTCGTCATGCTTTCCTTGTTAAATAAAAATTCCACATATTCAATAGTTGTCAAATAGCAGCAGGAGCAAAGGGGGCGAGGATGTATATATTTTATATATGTGTGTATGTGTGTGTGTGGCTGTTGGAGGTTTAAATGGTGCACAAAGGCAGATCTCACACACACAGTGTACACCCACACACAACATGGGGTAAAAACTAACAAAAACTTAAAAGTTGAATTGCGTTATTACAGGAATATATAATATTTATATTTATATATTTATATATATATATATACATATTTATATACACACATATATAAATATCTATATATATAGCTTGGATTTTTTGCACTGCATGAAGTTCACTGGTATGCATGAGTTTATGCATTGTATGATATTCATCTTGTTTATTTTTTTTTCTTTTTTTCTGTTGTTGTTTTCTGCATCCCTCCTTGGTTGGATTCTTGAAGAGCCGTGTGGTCTTCTGTTAGAGTCACGCTCACGTCCGCAGGCAGCCATTAGTCAATTAGTCCATCTGTCCATCTCTGGGCACAAAACAGCCCTCCTCTGTATCATTTTGCCACCCTCGCTGTCCGCCGTTCCCTTCCTTCGTGTTCAGCACTAGGTGAATAAACTCGTCCCTCTCAGAAGGCATTATTCAATTTAGCCTCTGCCGACTTTGGAAAGCAGTAGAACTTGACTTTTGAAAGGCTCTGTGAGAGTGTATGCGTCTTACTGCTGTATTAAAACCTATCTGAAGTCGTCTCTCATATCTGTGTGTGTTTGTGTACCTGTGAGCATGTGTGTTCATTTAACTGAGAGAGAGCTAAAAGGAGAGTTCGCCTACACTCAGGGATTCCAGTCCTGACCCTCTTTCCTGGGTCAAAGTGTGGCTGAGTACAGCAGTCAGTCCAGGCTGATAGTTGATGATGTGGTGTATCTGTAACAACGTTTCCTTTGTTTTGAAAAGAGTCTTTCCGCTGTTCAGCTTTTCTGCAGTTGTGTTTATCGAGAGAAGCTGTATCGGAGTGGAGGGGAGGGCAAGGCGCTCAGTTGCTTGCTCAGATGTTAGGTGAAGTTGGTGGAAGTGGATGAGTGATTGGCTAACTGGTCGGGAGGGGGTGTTTAGCTAGGTATGATGATAGGTAGTTAGGTAAGATTGGACGCCGCTGCCAATCACAAGAGCTCATACTGCCGTAGGTGCATCCTCTGTATGATGTCGCGACAGTCATTGAAGACGCGGCGGATGTTTTCTGTGTCAACCGCACAGGTGAAGTGGGGATAACAGTAATGCCGCCCGTCTCCGCTGGCTGTGCTGATCCTCTGAGAAAAGAGACACACAAAGACTAGTTGGTACTGACGATGCCCGCAGAGTAACGCTGATCTAAACTTGTCTACCACTTTTTATTATATAGAAGGGAGTATCTGTATATTATCGTTTCTATATTATCATGTATTTTTTTAATGTAACTATTGAGCTGTCATACATTCCTAATATCCAAAGTTAAAAAAAACCTTATGGGCGAAAATCAGAGAACACTTATATATGCAGTATACTCATTAAAATATAATTATTCTAACACCAAACTGAGGGAGAACTTTTTTCCAGTGGCAGGTATTATACTCACCCACTGATACACATTGATAGTTTATGTACTCTGGTGTAGTGACAAAATCTACATCTCTGGGACATAAGCGGTCCATCAAATGCTCAAAAACACTGAAACTATGTTCAGCTCCTTCAGCAGTGCCAGAGTAGAGAGACTGAGTGGAGTTCAAGCCAATTTGGAAACCACATCCCATGTAAATCAGCCTCTAAAGGAATTTTGTCAGGAATATAACTCAAACCTCATATTAGTCTTTTATGTCATATAAAGAATAGAAAAAAGGGAAACTAAAGTCAAAGAGGCAAAACAGGTTTTGCCTCTTTGACTTTTGTACACACCAGAAATTCATCCCGTATGAAGTACTTTGCCCTGGTAACACGGGGATCTTCACCTGGCTCTGGTATTGCTGTTGGAAGAAGAAATCTGGTCACATTCGAGTCACCTTCACGCTGCAGCATTAAATAGTCACACGGTGCAGCACTGTTACCACAGAATAAACCACATTAGAGTTAAACTGGTAAAAATGGCCAATACTTTACTTGATCTCAGGACCGTAACTACTGATTCTCACTGAGCATGAGGAGAAAAACCTCAGCATGTTTACATATTAACATGTCAGTGCACTGCGGGCGTTAGCATGTGTGACATTTCGATGGAGCACTCAGAACTCAAACTAACCAAGAGCTCCGGCCGTGAAGTCACACGGACACACGATCTAACTGGATAACAGGAGGCAGAGCCTTCAGTTATCAGGCTGCTTTGCTGTGGAACCAGCTCCCAGGGAGGACTGTATTAGGTGATCATGAACCATCCCTTTGTTATTCTGGCTTTGGCTCTGGTCGGTTTATATGCAACATCTGCACATCATAAAGTGTACTCTCCAGTTTTTTGTTCATGCTGTAGCCACGCTTCCGTTTCTTTGTCATCTCTGGATTGTTTCCCCTCTTTGAGTCTCGGTCTGCTGGTGGTCTCTCTGGAGTGCCTGTTCATAGTGAACTTTTGGATAATACAGCTTCTCCCTCTGATGTTGTACGCTCTCTAACTTGTTCCTTGAGATGAAAGTTGTTAACAGGAGCTATATAAATATTATTGTATTAAAGTGGACAGTTCTGGGGATGTTATATCATCAGGGATAATGTTTGGGGGGAAAAAAAGACTGACAGCAAGATGAAGATGAGCAGATCTAAGAGCGCCAGCCTTACCATCATCAGGCGTAGTGTAGCGTGCAAACTCTGGGAAATACTCCTCAATTTTAGATTTTCCTGCCAAAACCTTCTCAGCAAGCAGGTCCTGTTTGTTCAGGAAGAGGATTACAGAAATGGTCCGTAGCCACCTGCGGAGGGAAGTGAGCAAGTTCAGACCAAGGTTAGTTTCAGACCCAAAACATGTGTTGCTGGAGAGTCACTGTTTTAAAAGTAGAAATTACATTTTAATAGACTTTGGCTGGAGAACACGGCAATAATTTACTCTCTGGAGTTCTGGGTTAAAAAGGTCTTAGAGCTTCTGCCATAAACAGCCCATATGGAGTCAAAGGCGGACATGGTGTCTGCTCAGAGCTTTGTCCCTCTACATATACACCCTGAATCAGAAATTTCACATTTTCTTGATTTTCAGAAGAATTTTTTAGTGCACCGTTCACGTAAACGTATCGAGCGCTTTGTTTAAATTTACTGTACTTATCTCTGAAAAGAAATGACTTCTCTTACCAAACTAGCAAAAGCAGCAGCTCCTCAGATGACAAACCTTCCCAGCTTGATTTGTGTTTTCATTTGCACAGCTAACAGAAAGCTCACATCATGTCTCATGTTCTTTTGATCCTATTTTATCTTTGTTTTTTCCCCCGTATTTCCCTGCTGTGTGCAAGATGGCTTGTAACTAGGCATTCCTCTCAACTCAAAGTAAAAGTTTTATTATTGTATTGTATTGTTGTATATGACTTTCTTTTAGCCCAAACAATGGAAAACTACCAGTCACAGTAATCATATACTTCACTCTTAAGTTGCTCTTATGTCTGCTCCCTTTACCTTCTACATAAAGGGAGCTAGAAAGGGACCAAAGTGTCACAGCATTTAGTTTCTATAGTCTTTTTAGCAACATTTCTTGGCTTTTATGACTCCCTTTTGTCTCCTCACCTTCAAACAAAAAAAGACAAAAACAGAAAAGAAAGAAATGTGTCCAAAGAAAAATTTGTCTCCGACCTGTTGTTCCAAATGTTCTTGAAAAGATTGAGGGCTTCCTGTAGTCTGTTAGTCTGATTATCTTCTCTGATCACCATGTTGTAGCTGCTACTCGCCACCACAAAGATGATAGCTGTCACATCTGCGGCACACAACACAGAGCAGGATTAATAAAACCACTATGAATAAAAATACCCAAAAACTCAAGATACACAACCTTGTTCTCAACTTGGACTTTAAATGAACGCACATGCTTCAATCCAGTTACGGATTGCTGAACACTACATATATATCTGCTTTAGTAACTTTATAAACCCAATGACATGAAAAAAGCAGCAAAGTGAGTGTTAGATACTTCAGAAATAATTCAGGATCATCTCCTACCATTAAAACACTGGATCCACTTTCGCCGTTCATCCCTCTGACCTCCAACGTCGAACATACTGAGAGACAGAGGAAGTTAAAAAGTTTTATATTTACACTTTTAAAACAGTATTAATCCTTTTATTTGACTTTTTTACTTTCGCTCTATCGCACACATCGTGATAAATAAACATTGAGGTTGCTCACTGGAAATTAACTTTGTCTATTTGAAATCTTGTCTCGAAGATCCCAGATGTCAGTACTCTGCATCTTAGCAGGTCCTGAAAAAAAAAAAAAGGAGTAGGAGGGTTAAAGGAAGCACAAGTGGACAATGAAGCATAAAATGGCAGTAAATGGGCAAGAAGTCGACTTTCGTGAGGAAATAAAACAAATAAAGATAACTGATGCGTGCGTCTTGAAAGTCCATCTAGGGAACAGCATTTAAACTTAAATGCCGGGATGTGTGACACAGTTCATATTATGCACTTATCCGTATTGATACACATTATAAATAAAATAATTTTAAAAAGAAGCTGTGCATATAGTCCATTTTCAATAAGACATACTGAATAATAACACCTAATAATGAATAGTGTTTGTAGATGAGTAGATCTTTTGTAAAAACAGGTCAAAAACAATCAAATTCAAAGTTTTATCTGGCTATCTAAATCAAATAAAAGCAGATAAATTCCACACTCATTTTACTTTTAATTTTTCTATATTCACTTTCCATTTCCCACGGCACTGTTCTTACTCGCTTCTACGCTAATCACAGCTGATTGTACATAAAAATCTAGAAAGTATTCACCAACTATGATTTTAAAAACTGCCACAAATGTGGTAATTATAATTTTCTGCAAACACAACGACACACATTTTCTATATGCAAACATGCCCTGTGCACGGCTCTGCTGCCCTCAGTGGTGATGCGTAATTACAATGCCGTCATGAAGGTCTCTTCATGCTTTCCACGTCCACACGGGTCGTTGGGACGTGAACTTCTCCATCTGCACACGCTCGTTTCACGTATGATATGACGTGTACTGCAGTTCACATCCTTTGTCTGGTTCCGGCTACACAGTTAAACACACTCACACTTTTTACTTCTTCTCGAGTTTCCCCAAGATTAAACTTTGACACGTCACAGAAGGGAAGGCACAGGTGCCTCCAAATAATATACACAGAGCATGAGTGTGTCATGATGGGAACCTGAAAATCTGCTTACAGGTTGTTATTGCAATATTATTTGAGTTTGGTGAATAAATGCAAATGTCTGGCAGGCGTTGCTCTGGTGGTTCATCACCTTCAATCCTGTTTGTGTTATTACAGTGAACTAAAACTCAAAAAATGAAAGCTACAAGAGAAAAAAACATTTTGATTAGCTGGAATAGAAAACAAAAACTACTCTCCATTTTCGTTTTTGCTCAATTTGAACATTATAGAATATACTAAACACTGGTGAACATTTTTAAACAATAAAATAACAGAATATAACTGAAACTTACAAAACTAAATAAAAATGATAAAAACTGTTATAACTGGTGTTTGAGTGCTGACTGCCTCACCTGATCAGTGGGTGTGTAGTCGTTCTGCCTGACCACATCAATCCGGTCTAGGAAGCTGCAAAGACAACACAAAAGCTTTTAAATCTCAGCTGGAACTGTATAGAAAAAATATATATACAATATTACAATAAAACTAATGTATTGCTTACTTTCACAGTAAATCAGTCCATTTTAACTAACCACAGTAATCTTCAAAATAAAACCTACTGAACTGTAAACGCAACTTAAAATCCTCCTTAACTCACCAACCTATCAGACTGGAAGAGTTTGGCTTCAAAAACGCACACAAACACAGGCCGAGCGCTGCTGCCGAGCACAGCAATGAGAGCTCGGGAAACATGGAGGATATGAGTCCCTGAATGGCCACGAGGGGGCGAGTGTTTGAAATCGCAGCGAGATCAGAGGCAGCCAGTCTGAGTCACCGGCAGCCGTTTGCTCTGTCAGACTGAAGAAGCCTCGTCAATGGAGCTGCTGTAGTAGTACTTGCACAGAAGGAGAAGTGTGTGTGTGTGTGTGTGTGTGTGTGTGTGTGTGTGTGCGTGGGTGGGTATGCAGGCCTACAGCGCGTTCATATTTTGAAGAGCGCCTACCCAAATGCATGTTAATGGTCTGTGTGAACGGGTGTATGCTTTCAAGGTGTGTGAGGCAGCCTGACGACTCTTTCGGAGTTGTCTGGACCACAGACACTTTTACACTAGTACCCGTCGTGTACATGCACACCAGCATTAATAAGATTGCCTAAATTTCACACAGGAAAAAAAAACAACTTCCCTATCATCTCCCTTCGAGCCACTGCACATGCATGTAAATAAAATGAAGGTGGAAAATTAAACTTCCAAGCTGTCCAGACGGGACTTTCAGATGTAAAGAGGTAAACATTATCAAAGAAGAGTTGCTCAGCTGTGGCATGGAAAGAGGAGTGAGCTGAATTCAGGCCAGTTATACCGAAAGGAATTTGGTGATTATCTTTAAGCAGCAGTGTCGCACTCGCCTGCACTGATTGAGCACAAGTGCTGCAGTTTTCCTACAGAAACTGAGCTGAAAACTTCACAATCGCAGCTTTAATATCATGCAAATGTTTCAATCACGGATTCTGCTCTCAAACTTAAACATTTGCATATTAAACTTTAGCCCTTCCTCGTGTGTGTTACCATGTTATATTAAACAACAAGATCTCAAGTAAATACTGAATGGACGTGAAATGCAGTACAAATAATTACAGGGTCTCCGACAGATATAGCTTGAAATGCAATGGGAGTCTTTCTGCAGAAAGAAACTTGAAAATTACCTCCATACAAATTGTTAAAATAAAACACCAAATATGCTAAATGTACTTTATTGTACCTTATTGTACTTTAACCTTAATGTACTTTAATGTACCTTATTCTGATGCATTTCTACTTCACAAAATTCCGGAACAATATTTAAATATTAAAGCTTTCCCCTGAGCAGCATGTTTTAAGCAGGGATGAGGGTTATAGTGCAGTAGTGTTAAAGTGTAGCCACACAGTTAATGCTTGCTAATTTAAAAAAAAATGAACAGACATGGCTTTGATGTGTTAAAGCACTGCTTGCAACTTCATCTAACCAATTTTATTTTAAATCTCTGCAAAGCTTCACCAACCAAAATGCTTTAAGTAATCCCTGACTGCTTGTTACAGAGTAGTTGCTAACATACTGCGTTCCCACTCTGTTCCCCGGCCCGCCCGGCTGTCTGCTTTGAATAATTGTCTACGCTCTATTCTTACAACTAGCAAGGCAAGACACTGGCCTGCAGCCGCCTCTCAGAGAACAGGTATGCAGCCCCCTCTGAGATAACTAGGAATGTTGCGGGCAGGGGTGAAATGTGACAGAAGGGCTGCAGGTAACACACTGAGAGGAACGGGGGGCTGCGTCTGCAGGCGCTACAGTGCTGGACAAACGGACAAAAAGACCCCTGAGCCAGGAAGGAGAGGGAGGAGAAAGGGTTCGCAGAGACAAAGAGCGGGCCATGCGCATTTCTCTGCACAAATGCGCACTGACACAGATATTCATGTAAAACACACAGAAAGACCATTAGGCAGTCAGCCGGTCTGGTACCAGCCGCTCTCTGCAGGGGCCAAGTGGCTCAGGTGCTCCCACACCTCAGCACCTTCGAGTCAAACTTCAGCCCATAACATTACATTATTAGTGAGCACCTCAACAACAAAACTTTCATTTTGGGTGAAGGTGAAAGCTACAGCTCTAATGATGAGAGTTAACATGCCTGCCCCCAACATCTGCTGAGGCCAAAATCTTGTTTATCTACAGCTCAGGTCTGAGGCATCAACACGCCCAGGACAAACACACTGCTCAATTTTTAGCACTTCTCCCTATTAATAGGAGAAGTGCCAATAATAACCATGCCTACTAAGATGAACTAAATAATAGTGGCTGCCCCAGTAACAGAGAGGTCTACGGTGTTATGTATATCCACAGGGTTATTCTGGGCAGCAGACAGGGTGACTTAAACTCTGGAAATATACACAGGTCACTTGTCTGGTAGCTAAAAATGACCCAGTATTTACAAGAAAAGCTAAAATTCATTCTTCTGTTTTCTTTGGGTTTCTTTTCTTCTTCTTTTTTGCAGATACAATAAATGTAGGCCACGATTGTGGAAAAATGAAAAATAAATACTCTAGCATTTACATATTTTTAAAATGTCATATTTACTTCAATTCTTTATTTGGATTCATTGTTTTATTGCCACACAAACAACCCTGAAGGATATTTAAATATGCTTGTTCAAATTTATAAAATAAAAATCACATGTTTTATCAATTATATTTTAAAAAATAGACTTTTTTTTAACAAAAGTTCAATTACCAAATTTCTTCTATATTATTGCTACAATAATTAAAGCCTATTGGACTGCTATGAAAACACCTTTTAACTGGATCTGCTTTGCACGTGTAATTTTGAACATGATGAAGTTGTTTTTGTTTTTTTCATGTGTTGAAAAACAAACAAACAAAAAAAACGTAACAGCAGCAGCGCACTGTCCCAACATAGCTGACAACACTCCCATAATGCATTTATCTTGTAAAAGTGGCAGTATTAGAACAAAGGATTACTCAGATTATGAGCTTTCATACGTCCTCATCTCTACTCAGTATTAGATTACTCTGACACACAACTGTGTCGTCCGGCCTGCAACCTTACAGCTGGTAAGGATAAAACAGAAACAGATCAAACGTAACAGGACGGAGCAGGTTTTTATGTTTTTAGGGAGCCAAATTTTCAGATCATAGTACTTTAATTTTAAATTACCTTCATATGAGAAACAGTTATGAAATGTCTCTTTTAAAAAAAAAAAAAAGCCAGTATTTGATCAAAGAACACATTAACTGTGTTAACAGTTTAATAGTACCAGAGTAATAATTAAAGTATTTTAACCTGTATCAGGGTTTGTAGTATAACAAGATACAAACACACAGCATCTGGAAAACTTTGCCCCACCGCGTCCGAGCAGCTCCGCTGTGTGACAACACACACGCAGACACACACAAATCAGCGAGCAGGATTGCGTCCCTAAAAAGCGCCTCTTTCCACATCTCCTCAAATCTATTCATGTCCAAGCAAGTTTTCAGAAGTTCAACCACCATGTCTTTACACAAAAGTAAAAAATGAAGACGCTCAAAAACCTTTACAAATACAGAAAATGCACATTCCCGAGAAGCTGATTAACAGTAAAACTGTAAAACAGGAAAACTGTGAAAACAAATTAAAAGATTATTAGAAGTTTACAAAAAAAAAGGATACATTTTAAAATTGTAAATTTAAGTATTAAATCCTTAAATATAGTTTAGTGTCAATTTTACTGACAATAATTTGGCCATTTATTAACACTTAAATTTGTTTTTTCAGATTTACAAAAAAATGCAGTTTAGTATTTTTTTTTACGTTAACAGGGCTTTAAATTGTGTCTTTATTGTTGCTGCAAATCTCACTGCAGACACTCAAACGTGTCACTTAAGGCGCCTGAAATCAATCTCAGCTGCACGAGAGAAAACTGAAGCTTTACAAGCCTCTGAAGCACCGAGCCCACTCAAAAAAATAAATACAAAAAAACCCAACAAAAAAATGGTCTCGGTGCTTCCTCAAGGTGGAGGTAATAGGTAGGTGGGGGGAGGGGGACGGTGCAAGACTTGAGGGGGTTACCGCTTCTTTGTACGTTAGCGCTTCACACTGCGACGAGCTGACCAAACCGAAGGCTTCGCCAGCCGATCCTTAATCAAACACACACCACATCCAGAGAGAGAGGGAAGAAAGAGAGAGAAGGCTATGTCTGACATTACAGAGCTGCTCCAAAAATAGCTCCCTGGCGCCCTGGCCTCCAGCTTGGTTGTCATGGCGACAGAACCACAGGCGCTATAAATAGACAATCGGCTCCAAATCTTGTGCTGCTGGAGAGAGGCCAGAGAGAGGGAGAGACAGACAGAGAGAGGAGAGGGAAAAGAAGGGAAGAAAGGCAGAAGAAGGGGACAGAGAGGAATGGAGCAAGCAACAAAGAGACAGAAAGAAAGAAATTCAGGGAATGGAGTGGGTTAGAGGAAACAGAGGGAAAAGTGCGCGAGAGAAGAAAAGGACAAAAAAAGAAGGAAGGCAATTAAAGAACTAACACACGAGGAAAACAGAGAAAAGTGAACAGATTATAAGAGTAGGAAAGGTAGGAGGAGACGAGAACAGAGTGAAAGAGAAAGACAAAAAGAGAACGAAAGAGAAGAATCAAAGATAAAAATAAAAAAAAATGAACAGGATAGTGAAACATTAATAAAAGAATGGAAAGTTTAGAGGAAAAAAAGAACATAAAGAGAAAAGTAAAAGGAGAGCATAAAAACTTTAAAGAAACTGACAAAGATGGGAAAGAAACGTGACAAAAAATGAAATTAATTGATGAACAAATGATCAGAAATCAAAGAATAAAAGAAAGCAAAAAAGAAACAAACAAGAGCATGAAGAAAACTTTTTAAAGCGAGACAAAGCCCAGAGAAAAGTCACGAAGAAACCTTAAATGAGGCATAAAAATGAAGAAAA